TTCTTACTATATTTTAATTTTATAAATATATTTGTCAATTATTATGCTAATAAACTGCTAATATTAGCAATATATTAGTAATAATAAAGGCCTAAAAATTACCATTATTTAACTAATTTATTAGATATTTAAAGGCGCAAACTATTAGGTTCTATATAGTTTGATTGAAGGAGCTTAAAGTCTGGATTCTATCATTTTCCCGGCAATGTCAAAATCCCGACAAGTTAGCCCGCATTAAGTTAGGGTTAATTGAAGGCCAGATCCTATCATTTTCCCGGCAATGTCAAAACCTTAACAAGTTAGTCCGCATTAGGTTAAGTTTTTGTCGGGAAAGTGATTGTTGGGAAATAATAGAGACCCTTTGAAGGCAGGGGTACAGAAAAATTAAACTAAATTATTATGTAATTTCACAACTAAAATTGTTAAAAAAGACAATTGTAATACAATTAAATTGCGAATAATTGCAGTTAATTGCAATTAATTACAATTTTTGCTTTTACTATAATATAAAGTTTTCGACTTTAAAATACTCTATTTTGAAACCGAAACAAAGTATCGCAACCATCTGCAGACCTAAAAAAGCCTCTATTTTGCACTTGTTCAAAACTTTTGCGCTCATTGAAACCCATTTAAAAGTAAAGACTTTGAGCGTTATTTCGATATGTGTCTTCGAAAAGAAATGTAATTATGCAGGTCATTAAAAAAAATAATTTGATAGTTAATTTTTTATTCAATTACTCCGTATAATGTTATTTTTTAAACTACAATTTTTGACGCCAAAGATCGGCGAATATACCTTTACATACGTACGTGCGCGCGTGTGTACGTACGTATGCTCATTATTTCGTTATCACTGCAACAAAAACTGATGCGCCACCAATTTATTAATTGAGTCAATTAATTGCAATTATTCGGTAAGCCTGGTTGAAGGTTAGGATAAGAACAAATACTATTGGTAAAGATAACATATTTCTTGTATTATAACGAAAAAGTCGTTCTGAAAAAAGAGTTTAATGATGGCCATAAAACTTATTATTATAAACTGTTATAAATTTAAAATTTTACATTTTGTAATAAGGACGTTTATCCTACAAAATCTATTATACAGCATTTTAACATCCACTCTAGTGTAAAAAATCATCAAAGCATCATATAAAACCACTATTTATATTTAACTTTAATACGATCATGCCCGAAATTGAAAAATTACGTGAAGTAAATTTCTTAGAATATTATTGTAATGTTCGGCATATTCATTACATTATAGCATAATGGAAATATTAATTTCCAAAAATTTAATTATATAATAAATAGTTTACCGATTAAAAAGTAACGTACATGTAAAATGATATCTAATAGACATCCCTATTGCTGCCAGATTTTGGCGCAAAAGGAGGTCAATAGGGTATCAATAGGCATCAATCAGAATATTATTCTGATTGATGTCTATTGATATCCTATTGACCTCCTTTTGCGCCAAAATCTGGCAGCAATAGGGATGTCTATTGGTAAATCTGGCGGCAATAAGGATACCTATTGGCACTCTATCAGACATCATTTTACCTGTGAATGACAATAATCGACGAGAAAAAACGGAATTGCTGACAATTGCTGACAATTGCTGACGCTAAAACGGTCATATCGATATTTCACGCAAATTAAAGATTGTAGCTATTTGACCGCTTTAGGATTGTTTCATAATACAGGGCAGTTATGTTTTTCATAAGCCAGAATTATCTTAATGCCGGCTGAATTAAATCGTTAATACAGCTAGATGATTAAAGCATTAAGAAAATTTTTGGCGGTTCCAATCTCCACTTCAAAACTAGGTTGTTATAGAACACATACGTTAAAGCAAGTTTAGAAGCAAGTTTAGAAACAAGTACTGTACAAATCCTGTGAAGATCCTTCATATTGTGATAACCTATTATCTGTATTTCCATGTGCAACTATACAAGAACTTGTTTCTTTTGACACACACGATTTTATTTAACATTTCAAAAGGAAATTATTTCACACAATGTTTTATTATGATACTATTTAAATATTTTCATTTGCAAAAAGAAAAAAATTGCTAAATCCCCTTATCGATACGGAATCATATTTAAGTGTTTAATCCGTCGATTACAGTATACGTACATCATATTACGTATTAATATTTAAATATAAATTATATAAATAGATAAAAATCATCACTTTGTTCTTGTTACTTAATTCTCAACAAAAATTTCTTCAGTAAAATTTAAAATGGCCGTTTTAAATGTTATATTCGTTCTTCGCTTTATTGATTACCTTCTTTTAATCACACTTGCCTTTTTAACCTATGTTTTTCTATTCTATTACAAATACTTTACACGTTCTAATAAATTACCTGGTCCTTTACCACTTCTTTTTATAGGATGTGCTTATATGTTTACGAGTGATACTAGGAAACAATTTACATCACTCCAACAAAAATATGGCGACATTTGTGAAATTTACCTTAACGGCATGCGAAATATCGTGATTTCACGTCCTGAATATCTTGAAAAAATGTTAACCCCTTCATCTAAAGATACTACTTTCCTGATAAGAGTACCTTATACTGAAGCAATAGAAGAATTTGGAATGGCTAGAAGAGGCATAACTGCAAACTATGATGTAAAAATTTGGAGATTTAATCGTCATTTCTTTAATCAAGCTGTTTTAGCTCCAAGCTTTAATTATGAAGTTGTAGAATGGGCTAATAAATTGTTTCCGGAATTAGAAGGTTATTGGTTATCTCTTGCTAATTCTGATTCATCTGATGTTAATTTACAAAATAATTGGACTCTAGAAGCTGATCTTGCGACATGGATTCGTATGTTTACCAATGATATGATTGTAGCATTACTCACAGGCGAAAGATCCTATTCAATGGCTTCATATTATAATATTCAGAGTCCAGTGAAAGTATCACGCTCTAATCCATTGATCCAAGATTCTGAAAGATTTATTAAAGGTTTTGGTGATCACCTTATAGGTCTCACCTTATTTATATATCTTGGATCATTCTTTCGTCATCACGTACCATTTTATAAATATCGGGTCAAAAAGTTGCTTGAAAATCGGGATTATTTATTTGAAATATTAAATGGGATTATTAAGAAAAGAAGGAAAGAGATTGAAGAAACTCCAATGGGTACCAAATTAAAGCATGATATGTTGACATCTTTAATTACTGCTAATACAGAAAGAGATGTAAATAACATACAAAGTGTTAAAGGTGATATGCTTAGACCATTGACGGATATTGAAATTAGAGGTAACTTGCTTGATGCTTTCTTAGGTGGAACTGATAATGTAAGTACTATTCTATCGTAAATTTGACCTTATTTTACCATTAACATAATTTTAACATAATTTTTACTATATACTAATTATTTTATTAAGGTTTCAACTTCATTCGCTATTATAGCCTACTATCTCGGTCACTATCCTCAAGTTAAACAAAAGATGATCGCTGAAATCGATTCGATATTTCCTCCAAATGCACCATTTGATATGAAATACAGCGATCTCTTAAAATTAGAATATTGTGAAGCTGTAATGAATGAAGGTAGTCGAATTAGACCTACTTCAAATGAATTCCCAAGATATATTGAAACCTCTTGTGAAGTAGCTGGATATCAATGGGATGCTGGTGTAATGTTTCATGTAAATATTAATGGTGTTCATTCGCACAAAGATCATTGGCCGAATCCAGAAATTTTTGACCCTGAAAGATTTTATAAAAAAGATCCTAATGAAAGACATAAATTTTCTTTGATAACATTTGGTGGTGGTTTACGTAATTGTCCTGGAAGAAAGTCGGCAACAATTGAATTACTTTCTTTAATCGTATTGATATTTAGAAAGTATGATATAGAGTTAGTTGATATGAATGCTCCATTAAAGACTAAATCTTCATTAGTTAATATATGTGAGGAATTGAAAGTCAGAATTAGGCCTAGAAATTAATTGTCTTTGTTATGTTTTGTAGCATCTAATAAAAAAAAAATTTTTTGCTATTTACTATAATGTCACAATATTTGGTTTCTTGATTGCCAAGCATTGCTGTTGTTGAATCGTCAAAATATACCGCTTCATCTCTTTAAAATTATTTAATCTCATTCGACCTAAATTGCATTCGAATTGTCAACAGACAAAATGCATAATATTTTATGAATTAATATTTTCAATGAGTTGTAGGGTATATTAAAACCTTATTGTTATGATATCGTAATTATCAAATCATGAAGATAACATTTATCAAAATCATCTTAATCTTATTAATGTTACAAAAAACGAACTATCACAAAAAAAAAAAAAAACATCTAAGAGTTCCAAGAAAAATTGTCAGAATTACGGGTTAGGAGTAATTTTAGAAATAAATAATCTAATAAATGAAATGTAATCTCTAATTATCTACTTGACACCTTATTAAAGTGAGCCAATTTGCAGTGAAAAAATATTGATGTAAATTCTCGAGTTGTGTGTCTACAAACAACTATCTTAGAAACAGATACTCTCAGGATAAAAACAATGTTTGCATTTTGTACATAAAAATTAACACAAATAACAAAAATTTTCATATTTAATTAATGTAAGAACAAATATGATAAGCTTTTACTATCATATGATTTCGCGGTCCCATGGTTGCATCATACATAATTAGGAATCACCACACTATCCATCAGTTCGCTGCAAACATCTTTGAGTGTTGATCGGTTTGTTAGTGTACACATAATAATAATCTGGAAGTTTAGTGTAACAATAGAAATAGTATTTATTATTTCATCAGCCTGTAAAAATTGATTTTTGATTTCGCTCTCTTCGACTAAATTTAATTCATTGATCCAAATTTCGAAATAAAACTTAATTAGTTCAGCATCTATACATTACATTGCCAAATCAACATAGCAATCTGGATAATCTTTATCGCAAGTTCAACATCAAAGTTATAACCATCAAAAGGTCTTTGACAAGTCGTTATTTCAGCTATAATGACACCGAAACCATATATATCTGCTGCTTGAGTGAACGGTTTTCCTTGCAAAACCTCCGGTGCAACATAAGGTAAATCTCATTTTCATTCTTCATAATCGATGAAAGACCTAAATCTGCAATAAATCCATTATAAAGCGACTTCTGCAACATATTACCACTATGCAAATCTCTGTAACATATCCTTGAGAATGGATTGCTTGAAGATCATATGAAATTAATTGTAATAAACTTAGTTTGTCTTTCCATAGCAAACGCGATACTTTCGAAAGATTTTACGTGGAGAACCCATAATTGAATAATCCAAAATAGGGATGGAATCGGCTACGGCTATAACCGGCTATAGCCGGCTATAGCCGTAGCCGATATTAGCCGACTGATCGGCTTAGCCGACCGGCTAGCCGATACCAAAATTTTAATTTCCTGGTTTATGAGAATAATAATCATTGCATAAT